TGCAAATTGGATAATGAAAACCTTTTTTTTTTTTTTGAGGAAGATTAGCCCTGAGCTAACATCAGCCACCAACCCTTCTCTTTTTGCTGAGGAAGACTGGCCCTGAGCTAACATCTGTGCCTGTCTTCCTCCACTTTATATGTGGGACGCCTGCCACAGCATGGCTTGGTGAGCAGTGCTAGGTCCACGCCCAGGATCTGAACCTGTGAACCTGGAGCCGCCAAAGTGGAGTACGCTAACTTAACTGCTGCGCCACCAGGCCGGCCTCTGAAAACCTTTTTTAAAGCATTGCACTTGGTTGTCTGTGAAGGAGAAAAGCAGAGCGTCAATCCCAAAGCCATTTGAAGCCTCCTGCTCAGAGGCCCTCTCCCTCCTTCCCAGGGCCTGTCTCCTCCCTGCCCTCTGGCCATTCTTCAGGGCTCCGCCTACAGGAAGCTCAGGAGAACCCTTACATTTAGAGAAGGGCTACTTTGTGCCAGGCGTTATTCCAAAGCAATGGTATGTGTAATCTCACTTAATCCTCACAACAAACCTGGGAGGCAATCAATCATTTTCCATTTCATCACACTAATAGAATACAGCAGAACAAGTCCTTGATCATTTCATCACGTGCAGGAAGAACATTTGATAAAAACCAGTACCCATTCATGATGAAAACTTTGCAAATAAGAGCAGTAGGGAATTTTGTTCATCTGGTTAAAGGGTGTCTTCACAAACCTTACAATTAAACACTATGCCTGGAGGTGTTAATTAACCTTATTATGGCAGTCATCTCACAATAAATACATATATCATCACATTGTACATCTTAAACGTGCACAACTTTATATGTCAACTCTATCTCAATAAAGCGGGAAAAAATACAACAAGCAAACATTCACATACATATATAAATCCATTACCAACACGCACACACATACACACGTGTATGCGCACACACACGTATGGATCCCATTATTTCACCCAATGCTTCTATGAGACGGGGATCATTATTCCCATTTTACAGATGAGAAACTTAGACACTGAGTGGTTAAGTGACTTGCCCACCATCATACAGTTAGTGAGTGGTTGACCCGGGCTCTGAAACAAAATATATCTTATTTTAAAGACTGTATTCTTAAACTCTATGGTATTCTGTTTCAAATATGACTTCACAAGTGTACAAGGTTTTATATAGAATAGTTCCTTAAAGATACACATTTACAGTGACTTTTCTCAGTTGCAAATACTGTTAGCTTTCTTCCATATAAATATTCTGGTGAATTATTGTTAAACGATCAACCAAGTAACTAAGAAGAAAGAAAGAAAATAGTGCTTCTGTTCAATCTTTTTTTTTTTGAATAAACAGAAATGAAGGAGCAAAACAATTTTTAAAAATAAACATCATGGCTGCAATCCTCACTTTAAGTCAACGTTGTACTGACTGCCTTAGCCAGTGGTAAGGCAAGGGAAAGAAGGAAAACGTCAAAGATCTGGAAAGGACAATATAAAATTATCATTATTTACAGACTACATGATTGAGTTATAGAAAAACGGAGAGGAATCATCACATGAAATGTTATAATGAACAAAGTAATATAACAATATAGTTGGATTCACAGTCAATATATAAATATAACATTTATATATACCAGCAACAAACACTAGGAAGTCAAATTGAGGAAGCCGTATGCCATCTGTAACGGGATTAAAATAAACACAAATACCTTCGAATAATCATATTAAAAGGTGTTATCACCTCTACATGATATATTATAAAATACTGTTGAGAGAAAGTCTTAAAACCTGAATAAAGGGGTATGTCATGTTTATAGAATTTTAAGATGTGAATTCTCCAGTCATTGAAATACAGATTAATTGCATTTTCAATAAAGATCTCAGAAGGTCCTGTGGAAACTGACAAACTCATGTAAATATTTATATAAAAATGCAAAGGGCCAAGAATAGTCAAGACAATTTGAAAAAGAAGTAAAAAAGTGGAGGACTAGTATTAAAAATATTTATCAATTTACAGTAGTTAAGGCAATGTAATATTGCCACAAAGTTGGGAAAATATGCCAAATGACTCTATAGAAAAGTTCAAAAATAACTTGAAAATATGTATTTGATTTAGGGCAAAGGTGGCACCACAGAGCTTTGGGGAAAGAATCATTTTTAAATAAATGATGCTAGGTCAGTTGGAGATCAAGAGGGAAAGAAAAATAAAAGACTCCCTACACTGGCCCCCTACAACAAAACTCGATCTGAGTGAAAGTCAGTCTAAGAGAAAGAGAAACAATATGGATTCCAAGAGACAAAGAGAGTATCTTTGTGACTCTCGTATAAGCAAAGATTTCTTAAACATAACACAAAGACCACTAAACCTAAAGGAAACAAAATGATGAACTGATCAACTCTAAAATTAAAAAACATTAAGAAAGTTAAAAAAGGTAAGAGTGGATCAGAGTGGGAGAAAATACTGATAATTCATGAAACCAGCAGATGACACATATCTCAATGTACAAAGAACTCTTGCAGGACAGACTGGCTAACTAGTTTAAAGAGTGCTTCGAAAAAAGGAGGTCCAATGCCAATAAACTTACAAAATGGTGCTCAAGAACTTGATGATAAGAAAAATGCATGTTGAAACAACTCTGAGCTATCACTACACAATGCCTACACTTAAAAACGGAAAATTCCACAAGATGGAGAGAATGGCACAGCTGGGGCCATTATACCCCACGGGTGGGAAGGTAAATTGGTACAACCACTTTGGGAAACTGTTAGCATCTTCTAAAGCTCAACATACTCTAGGACCTAAGAATTCCACCTCTATGGGAGAATATGTACACATGTGCATCAAAAGACACGTGTTCGCAGGATGTTCATAGCAGCATTCTTCTTAAGCCCATCACTAGAACAAACCAGATCTCCATCAACAGCTGAAAAGATGCATGAATTGAGGTGTACAAGGGACTACTATGCAGCAATATAAATAGATGAACTATTGCTTCATGCGACAGAATGGATTAATTTCCCATTTCCCATATAATGTTCACTACAAGAAGCCAGATACAAACTGTACGATTCCATTCATACAAACTTGAAATGCAGGCAAAACAAACCTTCAAGTTTAGAAGTCAGTGTGGTGGTGGTTACTCTCGCATGCTTAAGTTGTTTTCATTTTCTATATGCATACATTTTCATTTCATTACATTAGATGTTTACTTTCCCAATATTACATTAATAAAATGTTATGTTTTACTAATATTAATATAACATCCTGACATACAATTCTAATTTAAAATTGATAAATACAGTAGGCCAAATAAGTCTTACAATTTAATATTGATTATAAAACTATTATTAAACTCAGTAATATGGATATATTAACATATAACTTTAAATTTAATAAATAATATTGAATAAATGAAATTTAATTTTAATTAATATATGATAGTAATAAAACATTAATATTAATGTTAATCATTGTAGCTGCAGAATGGATGTCAGCAGCTTGGAAAAATATTCTGGAACATGAAGACCTCCAACATCAATATTCCTTATGGCACGTGGGCAGATACCCTGAGTAAAATAGCACTTGAGAAGAATTAGAAGAATTTTTAAAACTGAACTCTTGAAACAATCTGTTTTACTTATGTTTCTAAAACGCATAGAAGTGATAAAGATAAAAATGTATGTCAAATAATTTTAAAAGCACTATTTCAATGAAGGAAAATAAATATTCAAAGAATAAAACAAATAAAATGAACTTATCCTAAAAACAAATATTAAAACAAAAAAAAAGGGGACTGGCCCAGTGGCATAGTGGTTAAGTTCTCGTGCTCTGCTTTGGTGGCCTAGAGTTCATGGGTTCGGATCTTGTGCGCCGACCCATGCTCAGCTCATCAAGCCATGCTGTGGTGGCGTCCCATATACAAAATAGAAGAAGACTGGCATAGACATTAGCTCAGGGACCATCTTCCTCAAGCAAAAAGAGGAAGATTGATGGGGCTGGCCCCGTGGCCGAGTGGTTAAGTTCGCGCACTCCGCTGCAGGCGGCCCAGTGTTTCGTTGGTTTGAATCCTGGGCGCGGACATGGCACTGCTCATCAGACCACGCTGAGGCAGCGTCCCACATGCCACAACTAGAAGAACCCACAACGAAGAATACACAACTATGTACCGGGGGGCTTTGGGGAGAAAAAGGAAAAAATAAAATCTTGAAAAAAAAAAAAAAAAAAGAGGAAGATTGGCAACAGATGTTAGCTTAGGGCCAATCTTCCTCACCAAAAAACCCCAAATTTATTCTAAGGATAAATGTTCATTGCCATATTAATTATAAAATGGAAACTCTGAAGGCATAAAATGTTTTACTGTAGTGGAATAATGAGGTATGTTATGATATTATAGTGTATCCACACAAGGCATTGATTTTAAAATGTTATGAAAAATACATGACAATATAGAATACTCATATAATAGTATATGAAAATACGTGTGCATGGCTTACATATATACTTATTATTTATATATTATATATATATAATGAGTGAAGAACTGATGCCTAGAAAACTTGCAAAGGGAAAGCCACCAAAATGCTGTTTCCATAAAATGATGCTCAGATAAGTGACTTTTTTTCTACTTTCCAAATTATTTGTGTTATGGGTCTTTTTTAAATAAAAAAACTAATTTAGAACAAAAATTTACAGTGTAAAATAACAACTATTTTGAGTGTTTTGACCTTCTAGGAAAGAAATGAAGACAGGTCAACACCCCTGAAATGATAACATTCAATGAGTCAACTGTCGCTGATTTCAAAATGTGATACAGATTCCTGGGAATCAAGGGCAACCCATTCAGACTTCAGCACAGAAAGGCAAGAAAAAATAAAAGTGTTTTACTCAGCTACTGTTTTCCTTAATATCTATACTGTGGCTTGACCCTGACTTTTTCACAAGTGCCTTTATATCATTGTGCTAGTCAAAGCAAATAACAAATAAACAAAGAACATTTGCGCACCTTCGGTCTTTTTCCAGTAAACCTTCACCTGCAGTTGGTTGTCTTGATAGAATGGAGCGCCAATTTCCAGGAGGCGAGTGGGCCGTCTTTGAAAAGGGGGCTGTATTTGCATCACACTTTTTTTAGTTTTCCCAAGTTGTTCTTCTGCAACAAAGTACAGCATTCTAATTTACTTGTTAAAAATAATTCTACAGCCTGATATCAATCCCAGTGTATTTAATTTTATTCTGTTATTCATTCATATTTAGTGGCTGTTTTTTAAACTAAAATGGGATGCAACTGCAGATTCTTTCATGCTCAAGTCGCTGACACTCCCCCCATAACAGGTTGGAATGCCTAAAAGTATATTACATGCAATCCCCAGATTTTAAATTGGTAATCAACGTGTATTCACTGGGTTGAAATATGCTCCCACTTAAGTAACAGGTATAAATAGTATTTCTCATTATACATAGTTTTTTTTGTAGTTATGAAGTAAACAAAAGAATATTAAAATTCTACTTCATGAAAACAATGTAGCTAGCCCTGCCCAGAAGTACCAGCATTCTACAGCAATATCTGTTAGTTCGAGGCCCTAGACAGAAACATGGTTCAACTTTGTCAAATTAGAAGTAAAAAGTACAAACGGCATCAACCCAATCGATTTCCCAATCAGTCACCGCAGCCAACAATTGATCAACGTACTGTTCAAACTAGTGACAGACATCCTGAGCTCTGACAGATATTAATGTGAAATATTAAGATACTCAGCAAACGAAATGAAACACAAAGGCAACAATATGTTAGATTGGGGAATGGAATATAGGGGACATTCATCCATTCATTCTGTAAATATTTGGGGACCAATTCCTAAGTGCCAGGCGCTGAGCTAGGGGCTGGAGACACAAAGCTTTCCTACCCGAGGCTCTTGAAATAGCGGAAGCCAGGGCCGCAGGCGATCACAGCGCGCCCACGGTGAGAGGGCTCTCCGCAAGGGAGGTGCGGGCCACAGGAGCACAGGTGGGGAGGGAAGGAACTGCCTAAGTGTGACAAGCCTCTGGTACGGATTCTTTGGAACATAGCCAAAGGCCTTCTGAGGGAATGAGTTATAAGGATCCCCCGTAAGATTGTTTCAATACGAGACGGGATACTTTTGGAAAGATAAGATGGAGAGTGTGTGAGGATGTCCGTTACTACTTTTTTTAACATGCATTTTTTCCTATTGTCTATTTAAAAATTAAACACACACTCATTGCAAAGCAAGGACAATATAAAAGTGATTCAGAATGATCCCAAGCCTTAAATATCCCATATCTAATGGACATAGAGATAGGTTGTAATCAAGCAAAAAAATAAAACAAAAACAAAACCAGGAAATATTTCTTTGAATCAGGTAATCCAAACTTTCTAGCCTAGGTCACTTCTTGATAATGATCTGGCTCTAGTTTTAGTGTTCTTTTTCTGTTGCCGTTTTAATTTAGCTGCATTTCCCATTTGTGCCATTCTTGATTCCTACAGTCTATTGGGCTCCTTCGTCACGATGTTTCCGATGTCTTCCGCTCCGAAGGCACCAGCACTACTCGCGTGTGCTGCTGGTACAACACTCTCCATCCTTCCAAACTCCCTATGTGCCTTCCTTGGTGCAGATTTCCCGGGATAAACGGAAATGAACCCCTCTTCGGTGTTCCTATATTTTCCCAGTTTTAAATCACTTTTTTCCCCCTTTAATTTGTTTCTCCAATTCAACCTTGAACTCCTCCAGCGAAAGAACCTTATTCTCCTCTCCCTTGGATTTCCCCTGCCTCACTCAGGGACACACAGATAATAGTTGCTTACTAAGCATAAATTGGATGAAATGAAATGAAATCCATGAATCGACAGCTCTAGAGCTGTTACCAAATCCTTGCTCGCCTGGGCTGTGTGGGGTGTTTTACTTAGGTTATTTAGCACAGTAATCCTTTGACAGGGGATGCAAACATGTTTTTCTGGGGTACATTGTCCTTTGTGGCAGCAAGGGCAATAAACAAGTTTTTTTCCAGGTGTGTTTCTGGTGGGTTTTGGTTTGCTTGGTGAGCTCTGACACCATTTTATTCCTGTTCATACAGGCATCCTATGAAATAGAACAGGGGTCATTAACCTTTCAGCAAAGGGCCAGAGAGTAAATTTTCTTGGCTTTGTGGGCCATAGGCTCTCTCTCCCAACTGCTCAATTCTCATGACAGCACAAATGCAGCCACAGACTGTCTATAAACAAATGACTGTGGCCAAGTGCCAGTAAACTTTTATTTACAAAAACAGGCGGTGGGCAGGATCTAGCCTGTGGGCCGTAGTTTGCAGACCCTGAGAAAGAGGAATTAGCATACACATGTTAAAGGCAAAAGAAGTAGGACTCAAAAATATCAAGAATCGTGTCCGATTCCATCCATTTCAAGCAGTGGTGAGGTTGAAATTTAATCCCAGGGCCATCTCAGGTCGAGCTTATGTTCCTCCATCACTAAGCACAGCCTCCTTATAGAAAGCCAGGTGACACTTTATATGGTTTAATGATGATACCAAAAATTTCCCCTGCCTCAAACCTCTCCCACTCATTGATTTTAGGAGCTGCATACTTAGAAATTCTGCCCTTTGACGCAAGACTTCTCTGCTTTCTGAATTCCAAGTAGCTCTTTGAGAGATAATAGGTTAAGCTGTGTTGATCACATACTGATAAGAAATGCATTATGGAAACTTAGATTCTAATAGAGCTATGAGATTTGCATTCTTGGGAAGGGGAGGAAGAGGGAAAGATGAGGATTTATGGGGAGAAGACTCCCGACCTGGGGTAAGACAGGATCAGTAAAGAAAAAGTGGAGACCCCAGAAGAAAAATGGCATCAATTTACTTTTCCTTTCGATGGCATGCCTGTTAAATCATCTATCCAATGGATCTGATTAACAGAGAATAGATACTTATATTAGTTGGGCCCATATTTAGAAAACTTTAGTTTAAACAGTTCACTTAAATGTCTGGATAACTGAGAAATATTTATTAGGCTTAAGGGTTCTGCACCCAATTCCAGTGTATGTGTGGGGGTGGGTGAGAGTGTTCCCACACTACCAAGCAATTCTCCAACACCAGCTGGGTGTCCTACAGTGCAACTCAATCCTGACACTGTCCACCAACAGGTGAAGGGCTCAGTCCCACAAGACTGCCCACCCTCCTTTAGACGTCAACTGCAAGTGCAGGTTGGCTATGGATTAGAGGTTCCAACGACCCCCTCCTTGGGTTCAATTAATTTGCTTGAGTGGCTCACAGAACTCAGAGAAACACTTGACTTACTAGATTACCAGCTCATTACAAAAGAATATAACTCAGGAAGAGCCAGATGGAAGAGATGCAGAGGGCAAGGAAAGGGGAAAGGGTTCCAAGCTTCCACCCCTCCCCAGCGCACCACTGTCTGCAAGTCTCCATGTGTTCACCAACCTGGCAGTTCTCCGAACCCCATCCTTTGGGGTTTTATGGAGGCCCCATCACACAGGCATGATTGATTAAGTCATTTGCCATTTGCGATTGAACTCAATCTTCAGCCCCCCTCCACTTCCCAACACCTCACTTGGCTGGTGACCAGCCAAATCTGGTGACTGGCCTCCAACTTTAGGTGCAGTCCAAAAGTCACCTCATTAACATAACAAAAGACTCTTCTGATCCTTCTCACCACTTAGGAAATTTCAAGAGTTTTAGGAGCTCTGTGCCAGGAACAGGGTCGAAGATCAAATATTTATTTCTTATTATGAATCATAATATCACAGGCTACCACTTTATGAGAAGCGCTCCTCGTAGCTGTAGAGAGTCAGTGTGACCAACAGCAAAGTAAGCGTAGAGCCCGGAGGAGGCTGGGGCAGGATGGAGAAAATTCACAGGGCTCATGGCCAAAACTCATGCCTTTCTTGACACCACCACGGAATTACAGAATCCTGCTGGTTACACCTAAAGTATTTCTTAAATTGCTAATTAAGGATTTAAGATCTTCCCAAGCCCACTTCTGTTTTTAATTCCTTTAATAATCTGTGATGGTGAGAATTCACCAGTGGATAACCACAACAGAAGTTTAGATGCTATGTTTAATCTCTATGTGAATTTTGTCTTCCTACTTTCTTTTATATCATACACAAATTTTTAATTTTAATTACAGATGTAGGAACATGTTTTTACATTTCTCAAGATTGAATCGTTGTTGCTTTATTGAAATGATTCAAGCACAGAAATACATTGACATGTAGTATTGCTGAGGCGCGCCACACGTAGAGGAGAGATATGCAGACTTCAGTCCTGGGAGCGTGTCCCTCACTTTGAGAGTGTCCCCTCCACTTTCAGTGGTAAACAAAAATGAAATAAAGTCTTTTCTACCACATTCTGAGAAGGCGTGAGGTCTGACTTATACTCTTTAATAGTCCTAAAAGTTAAGAGAATGGAGTGACTATGCTGTTTTTTCAGATGTCAAAATCTTGATGAATTTTACAGATGGAGATTCACAGTATTTTCTCTCCACTCCATTTTTATTTTAGAGAGCTAGAAGAATATCCCAGTTGTACAAGGTAACTATCAAACATTTGGAAACTGTCCCACCCTGGAAATATTCCTCCGGCCTCCAAAAAAGCCAGCCACATTTCCACTCAAGCTAGCATCAGGTCTTTCCTCCTTCAGGGGACCCTTTGATGAAACTGCTTGAACATTCAGCCTTTGCTTGCATAGAGATATTTATCGTCAAAACACCTAGGATGCCTACAGACCTGGAAAAAGAAAATTCAAAAAGTAATTTATATGCTGACATTTACTACTCTCTTTCCTGTAAAATATAATTTCCCTTGCTTATACTATGAAGTTGTAATTATTCTTTGCTTCTAGTTGGTTCATGATGAAATATATAGTGTTCTTGTAAAAATCATATACTAGTGTTTATGAGATTATATATCAACATTGGGATATAAAATCCTGACAAATACTCATTTATACCCTGCATAATCGTTTGTAAAGCCACTCTCTTCTGTAGGATACCCCGAGACCCAAACGATATGTGTTACTATAGGTACTTTCCACTATTACTTCTTTTTTTACTTATCTTTTATAACTTTTCTGAATCCATGTAGAGGAATCAGTTACTCCTTAGAACAGAGTGGTCTTTGATATGTTAACTATCATACCTCTTTATTGGTCAGGTAAGACATTATCTGATTTTAAAAGATGATTAGAAAATGACTTTAACACTCAGAACGAACCTCTCCAATGGCAAGGAGTTGGCTGAAGTTGTAGGTAAGAAAGGGAATAACTACCTAATTTAATTCGGTTTCACAAATATTTATGAAGCAATGCTAATGAACTATGATGGCTGCTGGGGGCACACAGATACATAATCCATGTTCTCTGACCTAGATGAGATTTTGGTTGAGTGAATGTAGTTTTCCAAAGTTGGGAAGAGATGGGTCAGGACCCCACAGCCATAGTCTAGACATGGTGGAGTCTACCACATGCAAAAGGAAGGATGCTTCCACCTTAGATTACAGAGGCAAACATGGGTGAAGGGATAGATATGTTTATATTTGTGTGTGGCTTTCTGACAGGGCGGAATTCAGATAGTGCTGTGCAGTATGGTTTAAGGTGAGAGAGAAAGGTTTGTCATCATACTCGAGAGGATGGGAGGAGGAGCTAATTAAAGAGGATCTCACCGAGCTTCTGGGATTGTGTGGGGATGCCCTAGGAAGAGTGAGAGAGCCCTAGATGTGCCAGGGAGACCCAGAGTCCCATCAACGTTCTGTCTGTCGGCTGGACCACGACGAGGCTCTAGATGACGTAACGTCAACAATGGCAAGTTGAGGTTGTATTTCTTCTCCTTGTTCTTGGTTGCAGGAATAAACACATATTAAATTACGGGAGTCTGCAATCCCATACCAGTTTCTAGTAGGGAAGGAATGTTGTTTATTGGAAAGAACAGAATGAGATTGAAAGGAAAACTTATTTTATACAATAGATGACATCTCTGCCACCAGTAGAAAAAAGAAGGGTCTTGGGTGAAGGATAAGTTTAAAGGATTTTGGTCTTAGAAGGAAGTTGGGGAGGAATAAGGGGGAAGCAGCAAAGGACGAAATTTGGGGAGAAGTGAAAAAATGAGTAGGTGACAATCTTGAGAGTGGATCTCAGAAGAGGGAGAAATTTGTAATACGATTAATATTTTCTAAAGGACATTTTGGCTGCCATCTACAAAATGGATATTTAAGAAAGAGTGGAATCTTTGGAACAGAAATACTAATTAGGAGAATTTTAATTTTATAAAACAGAGGTGACAATGGCCTGAACATGGGAAAGAATTTGACAGATCTCACATTTCATCCATACATGAAATTAGAAACAAAAGGGCTTTCTCAAGAATTGGATTTCTAGAGAGAAAGAAGAGAGAAGCATGAAGATTGACCTCTGGATCTCTGGCTACATGGTGAATGGTGGAGCCTTTTGAGGTAGGAGAGCCCGAGAGGAACACGTCTGAGAGGGAAATCAAGAGTTCGGTTTTGAATATGTAACATTTGAAATACCTATTGGCCACCCACGTGGAGATGTTGGGCAGGTAGCTGAATATGTGACTCTGGAATTCAGGGAGTGGTCAGGCTGGGACACACGGGGAGTCACTAGCACATGGATGGTTATTGACTCCATGCGACTCACTGAGCTCTCCAAGGGAGAGAGCTGCCTCGCACTCCTCCTCGTTCTCCCCCACACAGAGTTCTCTGCACGTGCAATGCCCTTTTCCAACTCGCTGCACCCACGCACGCGGCTGCATTTGCGTGGGAGGACGCCCTGCGCCTTGTGAGCCCACGGAGCGCTTGATCCTCAGGACTCGGTGCGGAATGCTGCGGCTCGAGTTCCCCACCGTCAGGTTGGTTTCCTCTGCTTCTGTGGTTCCCCATAGCTCTGTGTGCAACGGACTGATCTTTGTGTAATCGTGTCTACAGGTGAATTCTCCAAATGCAACACTAGGCACTTTTAAGGCAGAGATCGAAATATGTCTAGTGCTGCCAATAATGTATGTGTGTGTGCGTATTTGCATATGTGGAGGTATACGCATGTGTGTATATATGCACACACACATAAGTACATGTTACGTATATAGTACATAGTGTACACATGGTCCATGTAGTATATATATTATATAGTGTACATATCTTTGTAGTATTATATAGTATAACATAGTATTTCCACCATTAGACACAATAATGTCATAATTCATAGGCATACATTTCAGTTTGATGAATGAATGAAGTTACTAAACACACAGAAATCTTTCCAAGAGAATCTTTAGGTAAAAGTTGTATTGTATCCAGACTCACACAGAAATAGTGGACTTTTCAAATCCACTTAATCTCCAAAGAGATCATTTCCCAAAAGGTAGGAAGAGCTGTTTCGAAAGCATCATTTCAAACGGACTGCTCATTTGGATCTTATTTTTCCCCAGGTGGTAGAAGATAACTGTGAGCAATCAGTGCGTCTAACTCTGCAGAGCCGGCACTGCCTTTCCTAAATTCAGACAAGCTTTTGGCCTGTTCTCCTCCTCTTCTGAACCAGGCTCACTGCCGTGATGAAAGGCAGATACCACGGGCTCACAGAGATCCTCGGGAATCAATGCCACTGGAGCCCCAAGACAAGCGGCCCGTGCCCTCGTGATCTCTTGCCACCACCCCGGTCTCGGAAACCCTGTCCCAGGCTTCTCCCCAGCTCTAACCAGCCCCCACTTCTGCACAAAGCCAGAGCATTCCAGGAACTTGTGTTCTGGCTCAGACATGAGTGTCATATAAGACTCTTCTCTGGTTTTGCTCAGTTCATGGCAAACATATTAGTTTAGAAAAACTGTAAACAAGGAAAATCAATATGGGAATGACTTAGTCCCTCCAGTCAATGGGGTATTCAGGAGCCTTTCAAGCCATAATTATGACCACTGTGGATACCAACAAAAACGGGCACGTCACAGTTATAAACTGGGAGGCATCAGTTTCTAACCATTTAACTGTATGCATTCCCCTGAAAAACAAGTATGCACATGTACTAAGACCCAAAGTCATATAAATATGTAAATTTGTTAGAATGAGACATAAGCTTTCTTGCTAAATTTCCATTTATGACACCAAAATATTACACATAAAATAGATAAAAATCATAAGAAAAAATTCGAAGGTAAAACTGTTTTATACATCATAGTTCAAAGGACCTGGTTACCTGTTCCTCGGCATGAAGATTTGCCATGTAAAGGTCCCAAATAAAAAACCCTCTCTCTGTGGTGTCTCGAGTTCATTGCTTGCTAGGTCGGAAACTGCTGGGGAAGCACTATAAGGTCACTTACTATTGCTGGCGGCCTGTGTGGACGTGAAATGAAGGGAGACCTTGGCACTCTTCAGGCGTGTCTGCCCCCAGTACGTGATCGCCTGCAGTTCCACGCTGTACTCACAGTCTGGCTGAAGTCTCTCCAGGACCACAGAATTCTGAGACTGCGAATGGAGAGAATATATACCTGAACTCCATCACCAAGCTCCCCTGGCTCTCATCTTCATCACAAAACCTCGGACGTCATCACGAAGCACACTGACTCCTCCCTCACGTGTGCCTTTAATTTTCCAAGATCTCACACTTTTCTACATCTTCACAATCTGAAAATCCAGTTTTACTAAGGATTGAAATAAATTTCATAGAAGGGCCAAAACATACTCAAGTTTCTGTGTGTGATTCTCAATATTAAACGAAGGAAGTCAAAACAACATAATTTGCCCAATAGCTTGAAGTCAGATAGAAATTCTACTAAGACTGAGAGATCAAGAGACATACCCAAGTGATCAAGTACTGGATGGTGGGACCTGGATGGAAACACAGGTCTCATGACTCCGAATCTAGTGCTTTTTCTACGACTTACAGGTATAGCAGTAAAGTCCCTTGCAAGAACTTGTAATTGAGAGGAAATAAAGTTGTTTTCTTAGAATTCAAAACATTTGTCAAAATGGAATGCACGTGATGATATCAAATGCCCCCCTAGGCTAAAACAAGATAGTCTGCAAATGGTCAAATTGGTGGTATTAACATTTATGAAGGAAAAAGATGTATCCATCATGAATGCAACACCAAACAGCAGGCAGTTAGTAGCACATGCTTCCCAGCAGAGAGTATTCCAGTTTTGTGAGTACAATGTGCTATATTAAAGGCACTGTGGTCTGAAATCCTCTAACATTGAATCATCTAAGTAACTCCCTTGCTTAAATTCTGCAATCACTATTAGCATTCTCATCCTAATTTTGAGTGTTGTGAGACCTCTTTTCAGGGAGAGAACCTGTTTTTCAGAGGCATTCCACAACTGTCGGCCCAGTGCTCACTGTAAATTAATAGACGGCATCATTCTGTGATTTGGGCTTTTGAGGGGCTAATTATCAGAACTCAACCATCTGCCATCTGGTCGGCTCTGGAGGGCTGACAGGACTGCATTCTAGAAGCGGAAGTCTGAGAGTCAGACTCCAGACTGTGGTAGCTTCTCCCAGGGGAGGCCAGGACAGCCCTCAGCAGCCCACCACCCGGGATCTCCAGAGAAACCCTCTCTGCTGCATCGTGGACCTACTTCCTCTTGTAACGGATGGTATGTCTGCATAGACTACCGAGTCCCAATTTCTTTTAGTTAGGGTTTCTTGTTGGATTGCGTATCGTTCTCCCTAGACTGTTGTCTTCAAACAAGTCAAATAAAATTCACTTTTGAAAGAGCATTTCCTTGAAAATTCCCTCTCCCCTTCTTTACCAAGGCTATTAGAATGGTTTCTTAGGCAGTGGGAAGCCATTGATGCCCAAGAAGAAAATTTCATAATTTCTCATGTTCTTTTGTATTTTTCCAGCTTCTAATCTTAATTCTTAATTGGTCAAATTTTAACATTGAGAATCTTAGTGATCCACATGACCTTTAGCTTGCCTCTTGTGCATCCAAAACTGTAGGTCACTTATAAGATAGTGACTCATGTTTCAGGCTATACTGGGCCCATTAGCAATTATAACTAAATTTGCAGTTCACATTTCCTTTATCTAATTGATATACAATAGAAATAAATTGCAAACTTCCCTACTAACCCTTGACGCTGTTTGGTTATAATGGCAAGTGTGTATGTGTGTGTGTGTGTGTGTGTGTGTGGAGGGAGGGGGCCCCCTGTCAGCATTTCATCACATCACATTTTGCTTTCCATCCCGGTGATTCCACAAAATTAGCTCTTCTAGCTCTTTCTATGAGCTAAGCACGCATTACCAATGATCACTTGTTACAAAGGCCTTCAAAATAAAAGATGGAACTGTCAGAAAGTTTCTTTAAAATAAAACCAAAGGAGTATCACAGCTAAACATCAATGATATGGAATTTTGGAGACATGTTTTATAATTCTAAGTGGCACAGATACTGGAATCTTCAGTGCAAAAAAAACTCCTGCTATCCTTTATAAAGAATTTTCAAATATTTATTTATTTATGGAATTCAACTTTATAAACTAGGGGGAAAGGTGTTTACGTAAGTTTTACAACTACAAGATAAAGAAATGAATACTAAAAGGCAGCTGAATAACTCCTTTTTATGCACTAAGCATTTCATATGATGCAAAACGTTCATTATCATAGAAATCTCATTGCAGAAAATGGTTCAGTCAAGATTTTATTTCTTGGCATCTGGAGAATACACCATTCCAAGTTCTTTTAATCAATAATAAAAAAATATTGTCAAAAATGCATTTTCTAGGCTGTTTACTATCCCACTGATTGGATGACAGATGGAAACACCTTGCAACAGAAAAGCCATGAACATGTGCTCTTTGATTTACAAGGATCTCAAACAAAACAAAAGAAGACCTAAATGGACAGCCCATTTTGAATTCTATCATTTTCTATGGCTAGATACATAAGATAGAGGTAAGTTTGTTTGCTTCTGCAGCTGTGACTGCCATTTGGATATGAGTAGGTCAATGGACTAAATTCAACTGTTTTTACCTAAAATGTCAAAGATGGTCCTCCATTCTCTAAATTTCCTCGGTCAAAACAAAAGGGATGGGAAGCTTTCCTTCATCCATTCCTTCTCTTAGCTCAGCAGAAGCCACTTTTCAGATCAGTTGCCTGGCATTCAAATACCCGCTGCAAGAAGACGCCACTCTTCCTTACAGCTTGCACTTACCCCATCCGTAGTTTTTCTACGCTTCTTTTTCGTCGGGACAAGCGACTTGCTGCTGACTGTCCAGCTCCAAAACACTTTGTAGTGATGCACTGGGATATCTGGCTCCTCCGGCAGATCCCAAACAATAGCCACAGTCACAGTTCCGTCACTGTTGATGGTGGAGTTCGCAAGCCGGAGGTTGGTGGGAGGTGGCGGTGCGGATGGATCTGAAATCCCAGTAGAAAGAGAAACCATGTGACCCAAGTACCAAGGATGACAAGAAAACCTGCATCTTGGTACACGTGCTGACTACATGGTCAACGCATGGAGCATTGCCCTTTATACGTACAAAAGTTGAAAACAAATACTGCATAAGATCTGCTTTTTAAGACTCAAATTAAAATACAGTCTACAAAACAACAAGATAAATGTGCTTGGGCCAAATTTCCAATCTAGAAGGATCCTTCAAGGCATTTCCACACCACTATAACCCAGTCAAATTTTCACTGTACTGAAATTGATACATTTCTGTAAAACACGGTAAAATTCAGTTTAGCTTGTTTGCCATTAACTAGGAAGCAAAGCACAATTGCCTTTGAAAATTCTGAAAAGAAAAAGATAGAAATCCAGCTCACACAAGTGGCTGCTTCCATCTTAGCGGCCCTGCAGCTCTCGCCTCACATCAGCTGAGAGCAAGAGATCGGCAAAAACAAACTCCACCATTTCACGTCCACATTACAAACTGGATGACATACAGACAACCTCCGTGCTTGTAATTTCACCATTTCTGGTTTGTCACATAAACCAAAACCTTCTCAGCTGTCAGGGGAGAGATTAGGGTCTGGAATTATTACTCTACAAATCTCCATTTTAAATATATATACGCAGATGACTAAACACGTGCGAAGCTCAAGGGCCTTTCCTTCATTTTTTGCCATAAATTGAGCAAGTGTAGATGCCGCTCACCACAAATGATTTACAGATGGCTTCATTTCAAGATGCCTTCCCAGGAAAACGCTGTCAATAATTCTAATTATAATCCCATCTGCATTGGAGGTGCAAAGAAGTTATATCTGACTTGATATAAATGAAGAAGACTGGAGGAAAAAATACCCATGGTTTTACTCTCAGGATCGTTCATGTTTTTAGAATGATGGAAACATGAATTATTTTTAATAATCTCTTGCTTTTCTGGTCTGGAGGTGTGGTTGGTTGCTTAATTTTTTAAAAGTGAGAAAATTTCGTAGTTGCCTTTTTAGGTAAGTGGCTAATCAAGAGGACATTACATGAGACTGTTGATCAAGTGGTTCTCCTCCAACCATCGCCATTAGGAAGTTTCCGGGGCGCCCAAGGCTTACACTGGATATGCTGACTCAGTAAGTCTGAGTGGGGCCCAGAAATATACACACATGTTATATATATATATGTAAAACACACAGGAGATTCTGAAGTAGATGATCTGCAGGCCAGAAGTTGAAACCCACTTCACCTGGTGGCAACCAACCAAGAGGTCTAAATATTACTTGGTTCTAGGTAAGGAGGAAAACACTTGTTTCTGTTATCATGGCACAGAAAGCTCAGGTTTCCTTGCTATGCTGGTTCAGCTGAGCCATCCGAGAAGGCCCACTCTGATTGTCCATATGCACGTGACACCGCTGACCCCAGTCTTTTCTCTGAAACGTTCTCCACTTGACACCACTCCCTACTGGATTTCCCTTCAGTCCCACAAGATGCTACTTCTCTTCCCGGCCTCCCCCTCCGACCCCTCCCCATTCCTTCATCTCTAACAGGACAGCATCCAGCTCGGAACCCAGGGGCCTCTTCTGTCATCACCTACTCTCACACTCTCAGGACCTCATCTAGTCACAGCTTTAAAAAACAACTTTGTGCTGATCACTCCGAAGTACGTCTTGAACTCAGATTTGAGTAATTAAGGGTCTTCCTGTCAGCTCCACTTGGAGGTCTCAGAGGCAACTTGAAACTTACGTGTCTAACACCAAAATCACGATCCCTCCCAGCATCCCACATCCCACCACAGATGCCCCATCTCAGGAAACAGAAATTCCTTCCTTCCACTTACCCAGACCCCAAACCTTGAAGTCATACCCTCCTTTTGCCTTCATATCCCGTGAGCAAATCCTGTTAGCACTGCCTTCAAAGTACATCCAGCATTTAACTGCTTTTCACCACGTCCAGCACCCCGCAGCACGCCACCATCATCTCTCCCGACTATTGAAAGGCCTCCTAACAGGGCTCCCCTGACAGGGCTGCCGCTGCCTCCCTAGCGCCTTCTCCCAACATGGCAGCCAGGGGATTCTTTATGACACAGACCATACCATCTCTCCCTTGCTCGGGAGCTCGCGATGCCTTCCCATCTCAGAGTCAAAGTGCTAGCAATCTGCCGAATGTCCTGCGAGTTCTTGCCACACATTATCTCCCAAACCACCTTTCCTTCTAGCCCACCTGACCCCTCTGCTCTAGCCTCAGCGGTGCCCATGCTACTTTTGGGGGAGGAAAACCATAATGCTACCGAGGCTTTTCCCCTGGCTTTGCCTAAAGGCCTTCCCCAGATGTCCCCGTGCCTGGCTCCTTACCTACTGCGGGTCTGCCAGATGTCTCCCTATCCAAAAGAGCTACACGCTCTTTCCAACCCCCACCAAAAAAATTGTCCCCATGATTTATTGTTGTCTACAGGCCTCATTACCAACTGACTTATAGACTTTACTTGCTGTCCGCCTCCACTCAGGATCCTGAAAGCTCCACGAGGGCAGGATTCTATCTGTTGTGCTCACTTCTGTATTCCCAGCGTGGAGAAGAGCGCCTCGCACGCAGCAGGTGCTCAGCAGACATTTGCTGAATATTCAGAACAACAGACTTGTCCTAAATGTTAACTTTAATTTGTAAGATGATATTTCAGTTTCAGTTTTAAACGATGTCAACTGGAATGGAGAAATCAAAAGAAGATCATAAAGTGAAACGCAAAAATCAAAGGACTGCTATTCTTGGTTTGAAATAAGATACTCAACGCAATCCCTTCCTCTTAGGATTCACTCCTTAACCTACAAAAAGTTGCTACAGACCTTTCTGAGAGGGGAACTAGTTTGCACGCTAATCATCACTTGAGGGCAAGAGAAAAATTTAAATGTATGAAGACAATCACAGCCATTCACAGTTTCAATGACGCACCTGAACGGCTGAAAATAAGCAGTTACTTGAATTTTCCAGATATTCTGGGTTCACAGGAAAAGCTCAAAATCATCTCCTCCTCTAAAGAAATTCCAACTTTATGAAGGTCAGCTAGTATTAAATATGTCACCATTTCCTTAATCTACTTCATTCACTACTTCATTAGTTACTGCCCTGGAAAAACTTTTAGACCTTAGATGTAATCACAACAATCCAGAATATCATTATCTAGTTTATGAAACATGAAACAAAATAATTTATGAAAATAAATGAGGAAATAATGTTTTAAAATCTATGAATTAATAATATTTGCTTTACACTTTCTTAAAAGTAAGGGCCATTTTGACTGTTCACAAGACCCAGCCGGCATATTTCCATTACCAAGACGAGACACCCCCTTGCTTTCTCCCCCAGAATAATCACTATCAAGTTACAAAGCCAAAAAAGAATCGTAGAGATCACCTCTTTATCATCCTGAAACTGTAAACTATCTACTCATTTATCCATTTATTGACTGCAGAATTCAGATAAGGGTCTGTCCCATTTATCCAATCCAGAGGATTTCATTCAGTCCTAGCAAATCCCTATCTTCAAGTTATTTGCTGCCTTGTGAAATTGTTCCCCATATTATGAAATAAAGTATATTCACCTTGTTGAATTATACAAAATTCTTTTTTCAATTTGCATGATATTTTAATTGTATTTGAATTTTGAAATGTAGCTGGAAGTTTGCATGTAAATGTATATATATATATATACACACAGATACACAAGGACTCCACATTATGACGAAGCCCTAAAGGATTCTACAGTTTATTTATTTGGCCTTTTTTTTTTAACTGGCAAGGGTCATAGGGGTTAGAGAGGTAAAGTGACTTGCCCATGGTCATTGACATAATTTGTAGCAGAGCCAGGAGTAAGAAAAAAATGAGGGGAAAAGAGGGCATTGAAGCTCTAACAATATACACCTATACACACCACACGCTCTACATATGTTATATTTCATCCTCATCACGATGGGCCAACATCCTTACAGAAAGTAAACGTGTAAAACCCTTGAATGGGGAACGTGTCCACCACAATAGGCAAGAGCAGGGATTGACAAACTTTTTCTGTAAAGGGGCAGATAGTAAAGATTTAAGGCTTTACCGACCATACAGTCTCTGTTACAACTACTCAACTCTGGAAAGCAGCCAGAGACAGCATGTAAACAAACAAGCATGGCTGTGGGTCAATAAAACCATATCTGCAAAAACAGGCAGCAGGCCAAATTTGGACTGCAGGCCATCGATTGTCAACCCCTGCTCTGGAGTCTTTCAAAAGCAGGGACACCATTAGCTTTTTGAAACTTGATGTGAGCACTGTTTATTTTTTATGTGTATGGTTGTACTTTGTTGGTTAAATTTGGCATTTTGTTCCCATTCTACAGATGAGGAAACTGAGGCTCAGAGAGTTTAATTCACTTGTTCAAGAGTGTAAGGCAAGAGGGTCAGATTCATATCACAAGACCAGCGCTCTCCTGACCCCTCCCTCTGAGGGTTAAATCAGAGCACTTCTCCCCCGTCTCAATTCCGTGTCTGCTTCACTCCACTCCCGAGGGCCTCCACGGTCATCTTCAGAACACATTTCAGAAAGCAGAAAGCAAGCACACTCTCAAAGACAACTGAAATGGAGATGCTGTATTAGCCCCTCAACTTATATACAACTTGTGTGATTTCTAGTGCAAGATATATTGACTATTTAGCACGAATATCCAACTTCATGGATATTCCTTTTATTAATGATCGTATGTGGTCCTTTTGGCAAAGGAAGATGGAACATTTGGGTTTCACAAAGACATATTTAAGCTTTCATCCCTTCATTTTTGTGGTTAATGTCACAAGTTATGAAGTAACACACACGAAGGTTTAGCAAGCTGGAATAACTTTGAGCCTCCCGCGGGTAAAGGGACAAATAAAATGACTTGTCACCCTTGCAGAAATGCAGGTCTATTATTGCACTATGTGAAATCTCATGAGAAGGGAGCACTTCTGCCCATCCC